GTAGCTTTTAGCATGTTTATAAGTATAAGTAATTTTAAAATAGGCGTATTTTAGCTAGTAAATAGAAATTACTAATATTATAATATAGATTTAGCGTTTACTTACAATGGTAAAAAAAAGTAGACTATCACTCACGTGAAATTCCTTGGCTAAATACCAAAAATTTCAGCTACATCGTAAATATACTATTAAAGTAGCTTGTAAGTAGCAATATACTAGGTGTAAAGGTATTTAAATTATGCTATAAAGTTATTATTATAATTAGCTGTTTAGAAGCTTTAGCCACACCACGAAAGTAATTAGGATAGAATTAATAAGCTAGATATTACTTTATTATCTTATCTTTATACTAAATAACTTATATAAATACTACTATATTATTTTTAGCTTGTTTTAACATGTTCTTTACTTTATAGTCCTCTAAAGAACCCTTAAGCCTACTAAAATAGCGCTTAATTAGGTGTAAATTAGGTAAGTTAAGGGAGTATAAAGTAAAGCGTATATCCTTCTCTTTAATTTTATATGCGTAATATAAGAGCTCTAAGCTATAGAGGTAGACGTTATCTTATACTAAAAACACCTAAGTATAGGGATTGTTAGTGCGTATAGCTTCGTAGTAAGGAAAAATAACGTTCTTAAGCACCTATTTAGCGTACGAGATCTTATTTATACCCTTTCTACTTTTATATACAAAGTCCTTGTATTTAAAGAACTTATTAAGAATAATAGAATTTTTATAACTAGCTAAGAGGGTATCTTTTTTCTTACTAGTAGCTTAATTAGTAGCTTTAGTAGCCTTATTATAATAAAGAATATTATAATTAATCTTATTAAAAGCGCGCTCTTTTTAGGTAATAGCAATATTTATATAAGCTGTTTTATTATTAATTAATTTATAAGCCCTTTTATTACCTTTACGTACGCGTTTAAGTATTTTCTTATAATTCTTTTTCTTCTTTATTACCTATACTAAATATAGGCATTTTAGACTACTAAGGATAGTATTAGTAGACGTAATAGCGCAAATTAGAAGGCTAAAAGGGAGTAAGTAATATAAAAGGGTATATTTATTAGCTAGAGCGCTACGTGCTTTTTAAATATACTACTTATTTTTATAAAAATCCCTCCCTCTAATTAATTTACTAGTTTTATTATAGTAAATAAATATAAGCTTAAGAGTAAAGCGCTTATAAGTAGTAAAAATTTAAATAATGTAGTACTTTTAGTTATATATATTATTATTATTAAGTTTAGGCATCTTTAGGCATATACTTTATATATTAATATAATTATAGTCGTAATCGCGATGCTTATAAGTAATTTTAACTAGTATAAAATAGCTTACTATAATCTTAACTTGTTAAAGGACATAGCGAGTTAATTCTTTAATATTATAAGTACTAAATTATATAATAGCGTTATATATTTAAGCACTAAGCTTACTACTATTATATATTTTAAGTTTAGCTTTAGGGGGACTAGTACAGGTAGCATAAACTATAGCTAGTAAATTATTAAGTAAGGGCTTAAGCGAGGCCTATATATAAGCCTTTTTAACCTTTTTAAAGACTTTCTATAGTGTTAAGATGCTCAAACCTATCGCGCTAGCAATATAGGCGTATTCAGTGTTGGAGAGCTTGCGTAGGGCTACAATAGCACATTTCTAAGCCTTTGTAAGGTTGCGAGAGTCGTGCGGGCGGCCGCTAGTGCGTTGAGGTGGCATAATGGGTGTTGTTGGTGAAAAAAATCGATATATACGAGGTGGTGATGGAGTCCTGGTGTTGAGTTTGGAGCTGAGGCACGGACCAGGTGTCCTTATCGATAAGACACCTAGCGCCTTGGCAGTTCACGTGAGCGATGGTCCACCTTTTTCCACTCATTGTAGTAGCTCTCCTAATTAGCCATTTTAATATGGCCCGTGTACGGCAGATTTCGGCCATGCGGGGGATACCCTTTCCCGCTATAAACTCTAGCCTTTACGGCCCACTTCTACCTTAACGCGAGAGGCTGGGTCGCTGGTAGCAGTAGCACCTGCTGACCCCACCTCTACTGCAAGTACGTACACATGCCACATACAACTACGTCACTGCTAAGCCGCCTCCAAGCCGCCCGAGATACATATATTATGTCTGCTCCGCCAAACAAAGCCTCTACCTTTGACATCAACCGTATCAAGGACTACTACGATAAGAAAGTCGACGTCATCTCCCGCATCAAAACCGACAAAGCACCTGAACAACAGCTCGACAGCTTGAACCTCGACGACAAGAAGGATACCCCAAAGACCAAAAAACCAACAGAACAGTAGACATGCCTGTCCACCCCGCCGAGGAGCGCGCTACCGGCAGTATGTACCGCTTTCTTCGTCCCGACTGCACCATGCTCGTGGCATAGTACATGTTGCAAGCGATGCTGAGTACTACCAGGCATCACCGACCAGGTCGCCAAGGAGTCTTCCGACTCGAACGCGTCTACGCACGAGCATCACCAGATCGATACCGGCGCCACCTCTGGGGGTTCTCTTTCTTCGCTGGCACACAAGGCAGCTCCCGTGCGTCATGCCTCATAAAGAGGAGAGTAAAGGGACAAGGCTAATAACATGTAGGGGCCTGTTCACGCCGAGAACCTTCCCGAGCCGGCGAGCAAGGAGGAGCTGAAGAAGCGTGCTGAGGAGCTTAACAAATAGGCGCTTGGTTTGCACATTGGCATGATACACGAGTACTGGCGGGCAAGCTGGTGACGCAATGGCATGAAGGATGATGGTCACGGCATACATGTAATATGGCACATCAACATCTATGAATTGGCGGCATGATTCTGCGTTTCACTCTTGCTCCCAACACGACCCCAAGCGCGAAGGTACAAAGTCGTGTAAAACACTTCAGTTTAAACTTGTCTTGGTCCTTTGTGTTACCCCGGGACGAGCTATACAGTGGCTGACTGCATCTATTCGTCTGGAAACTAGCAAGGACTCTCGCATTTTGGCCTTGGTTATATTTTGTTAGAATTTGGGTACCTACCGGTGGGAGGATGAAGCATTCGTCACGCCAAACAGCCCACCTATCCTGAACAACACTCACCCCTCATCACCCGCCCTAGCCAATCTTCAGCTATCAATCCTGCCTCCCCTTCCAAACCTTCCTTCGACCCTCCTTATGCCACTGCGACGGCGGATAAATAAACATAACCCCTGCTCCAAAGATGACAACCACGACAACAATCACAATACATAAAGCCGTCCATTTCTATCGGTGCCGCGAACACACAGTCATAGTCAGGCTTTCTACGTCTAAACGCAGTGGATATGCCTATGCAAAGCTTAGCCAGGATGTTGCAGTGAGCGAATGAAGAAAAGGAACAGGCCTTGGGGCTTTAGAGGTATGATGAAGTGAAGTTTATACGAACTCGTGAGGGTGGGCAGGATCTCAGCGAGGGATTTACCAGCGTAGCTGCTGAGCTGAAGCTGTGCGTGGAAGCGAATGGGTGATGCTGGACTGGCTGGGTGGCGCCGGGGGCAGGCACATTGGGGGTGCGTGCTGAGGGCAGGAGGTGGAAAATGCGTAATCCCATGGCTTGTATTGGGCAGTGCGGAGACTTGGTTTAGTCGTTAGACATTGCGTACTTGTGATACGGACTGTGTTAAGGAAAAGAAATAGTGTTTTGTTTGGGGTTGGAAGACATTCAATGGTGCATTTCACTGCTTGCGGGATTGTTCCCCGTGAGATTGGACGTGCTTCACATTTGAGGGTTATTATTCACGATGTGAATGTATTCAATGAGGTATCCAAATAATAAGGTCAGCTGCTACAGATTGAGAAGTCACCCTCTATGTCATGATCATGGAGGTAGGCGAGCGCTCGTACCTGGGCCTTGAAACCACTTTGGACATGATCTCCATGTAGAAGCTGATAGTTGCAAGAAGCAATAGGTTAATCGTCGTCTGTCACATACGCTTTTTGATGCGCTAGGAGCAAGGCATGCGTCAAGAGCGTGAGGTAAGAGTGCTCCAATTTCATTGGTTCCGCAAGCGAAGCGCTCCGCAAACGACTCCGCGTGCTACCGAACGCGGTGACGCGATGGCGCTTCGATATTGTTTAAACTCTGAAGGAAACCGTCTCCCGCAAATGGAACCATTGGAGTGTGCGCCGGATTTATGGTCGAGCTCTGGTATGTGTCATCTCGAAAATCAACTTAAATCCAATACTTCCTTTCCTGCATCTTGCTCCCGATGCTCCCAACATCACCTCTAGCTACGTATGATACGCGTCTACCTCAAACTACAATCACCGATCAGAAGGCCTTGGTTTTAAGTAGCTCGGAAGCATCGAAAAGGCCAAACTTTTGGAATAGTAATCTGAAGGGCAGCAAATATGTTTGCCCACTCTAGTTAGTGCCTTGTCTGCAACGTGAAGAACCTCTAGTCGAGCTTAGACCAGCGCGACAATCATACGCGCACGGCTAGGAGGTCGTCAGTCGAGTGAACGTCACCGCGATACCCAATTGCGCGACACGTTTGCGTACCTATGGTACCTATGGTACTTAGCGCTCCCAATATCGCTAAGAATATGCCTCTTGAGATGGAGCCCATGTATCCGTAGGTGTTCAGGCGAACTACATTGTTAGTAAAGGTGGAGAATGGATTGACGCCTGCGTAGAACACCACCATAATCATCGGGGGATCGAGTGGACGACCGTATCCCTCATGTGAAGAAGACTTCCTTCTTTCCCCGTACACAGTCGTCGTTGCGCAGAAGCCTGACGAGGTCACGATACGCACAGATCGGCAAGACTCGGAATTTCAAGTTTCGATACCAGAGGCCGATCAGGCCAAGGAAAGGAAAATATCTCTACTCGACTGGACGACGAAAGCGAACTTATCAATACCTAACTTAGGACTAAGCTGCGAGCTCTGTCTGTCAGAAAAAAGTGGCCGACACTGCAACTACCCGTGGACCCACCCCCGACATAGAGAGCTCAAACGAGTCAAAAAGAAAAGAATTCTCTCCGACGGGGAATCGAACCCCGGTCTCCCGCGGCTTGTTATCTTGTGACTGACAAGCGGAAATCATGACCACTAGACCATCGAAGATATTACCTGATCGTACAGACGATGGTCGACGGAGTCATTTTCAATTCTAAAATATACATCCAATCAATATTGAACCATACATAAGGCCTTGGATACACAATCTTTATCATGACAAAGATGCCGAAATCCAGGTCGTGTGGGACCGATGACTGATGCCCACTTCGCGTACAGGTAGACGAGGTGCTGTGGCATGCAACCACACATGTATTTCCAGCACTTGCACGCGCATCGAAATAAGAACACCAACATGGTCAACAACAATGAATAACGATAACATAATATGGCGCGCCTACTGAAATTCGAAACGTTTGCGTAGTGTGTCTGCCATGAAAGCGCCTCAAGGACCAACACCTTTGGTAGGTATGTATCGCCACATTCGAGCCGCTAATTCAGGTAAAATCCATAGCGGTAGATACCGGACGAAGATTCTCTTCTACACGCTCTTCCAGAGACAATGAAGCCTCGGTGCTTTGCGAGCAGTTCCACCCATCAAGAACTGCTCTCAGCGAGCGCGTTGTTGGGAGGAGCTCGGCTGGCGCGCGTGGGAAGATTTTCCAGCATCGGGGGACGTGCAGTGCTTAGTCATGCGCGCTAATCAGCCAATATGTCAAAATTCTGAGAGGCGCCCTTCGTTCTTTCTTCTCTCAATACTGGCTTGTGACGCTGAATGGGTAACTGAGAAGCAAAGTAGCGCAAATTTTCAGCCACATTGTTACGCTGACAAAGGCCTCTCTGTTCGAATTTACCAGCACCTTGGGACGTGCGGTGCTTAGTGCTGCGCGCCAAGCACATGCGGCTGGCACCCGAGCTTCTCAAAGCTCTCTTTCTTCTTTCTTCCTTAATATAAGGCGTATGGCAGAACGTACAGCTTCTCCCCTCCTACTTCACAGACCAGCTATTCCACCTTGATTCGTGTAGCCACTGCCTCTCACTATACATCATGGACACGCTCGACAACACCGATTGGGATGTCGTCATTTCAGGCACCGGCCTGCCGCAGTCTCTGCTTGCCCTGTATGTATTCTCTTTCACTGCGACTCGTTCTGCAATCTGACTGACGCAGCACTTGAAGAGCACTGTCGCGCTCGGGCAAGAAGATCCTACATACCGATGAAAATCGATACTATGGCGGTGCTGCGGCTGCCTTTAGCATTACGGAAGCTGAAGAATGGGTAGCGAAAGTGAACCAAGGTCCCGAATGCCCGCATGTTCACACAGCTGTATGCTAACTCGAGTGCAGGCTTCTTCAATGGCGCCTTCGATGAGGCATCCATCTATGAGCCAGAGGCTTCTGAGTCAGACCCCACCACTCTTTTACGAAAAATCGGCAGGCATTACAACCTCGCGCTTGCCCCGGCAATCATGTACTCATCCTCTGCGTTCAGGCGCTACTTGTTCACGTCGCGGGTCTATCACTACGTCGAGCTCAGGCCTGTTAGTGGCTGGTGGGTGTATTCTCCTGAAGGGAGCACAACCGGCACCTTTAAGAAGATTCCCAGTGTGAGAGAGGAGTTGATTGGGAACAAGGAGCTCAGCTTCTCTGTTAAGCGCAGGCTCATCAAGATAACCCGCTTTGTCATGGAATACGAGAACGACGTGGCGAAATCTCAGTGGGAACCGTATCGCCTTTTGCCTTTCACCGCTTTCTTGTCGGCCGTGTTCAAACCCCAACCCGAGCTGCTCGCGCCACTTTTTGCTCTCACAATGTCAAGCGAGAGCCCCGAAAGCCTGACTACCGAAGCCGCGCTGCCCAGGCTAGCACGGCATATACGGTCTCTTCAAGGGCGGCACGGCAATTGGCCAGCCCTCATCCCTAAGTATGGTGGCTTGGACGAGTTCTGCCAGCTCGCCTGTCGTGCATGTGCCGTAGGAGGTGGTGTATATGTCCTTGAAAAGGGGCTGTCTACTTCTGCTGGCTCGGTGTCGACGGTGCGGATTCCCGTGGAAACCCCACAAGAAGGCTACTCAGCTGGAGAAGATGGATCGGATGCTCACAAAGACCCCGCTGCCGCGGACGCGTCTGCCACCGGTCAGCCTCGCGTCAAGCTTCAATTGCAAGACGGCGAAGCTATTACTGCACGATGGGTCGTAGGCGAAAGCTCACCGGACCAGACCCCCGACCCCAACTGCAAATCGATTTCTATTGTGTCTTCGCCGCTGTCAACCCTCTTTCCGAAGATCAAAGTCGATGAGGACGAGAACAAGGTCCCTATCCCAACTGCCTCTGCCATTTTCTTTTACCCATCCAGATCCCTGCAACTACCAGAGTGCACGAATACTTCTCCGGTACATATCCACGTCCACTCTAGCGCTTCTGGAGAGTGTCCTGCTGGTCAAAGTAAGTTTATCCAGTTATTCTGATTCCATCTCTCAAACCGTTATGATGATTGATTTTTTGAATACTTATCTACATTGTCCGAACTTCATTGACGATAGATATCCTCTGACAACCTGATCACGGCGTTGCAATCAAACCGAGTCTACTTTAATGATCACTAGTACTGTTGCTGACAGCTCAACAGGCATACTATACGCATCGACTAGCATGAGCGGCAAAAGCGGCTTCGAGCTTCTCAAGCATGCGACATCGCTCTTCCTAGACAGCATCGATGATGTGCCAGCCCCCAGGATCCTGTGGTCCATGCAGTATGAACAGCGTGCTTTGCCCTTGGCCAAACCTTTGCCATTGCCGGATGGTGCGGCTGCACATTTTCTTGGTCTACCTTCTGCATCGCTGGACCTTCCCGTCGATGACACCATGTTTGAGCATGTACGGAAGGTTTGGCGAACAATCACGGACGACGATTCTGAACAATTTTTGGACTTCCCGGAGAGAAATGATGACGATCTATAAGCGGGTCATAAGGCTCGATGCGAGGATACACGGCATGATAATTTTGAAGGATGGCTTTGTTGATGATACCCCCAGAGATAGTGATGATGAATTCATTTACATTCATTAGTCTTACCTTGTTCAGTTCCTCTTCGTCACATTCTCCGATAGCTTATGCCCTTTTCAGCAGTAGTCCATAACTGCGTGCCCTCGACTGCCTTGTTATGCTCCCGGCTCCAATGCCTTGCCGCGGCACCTAAGTTGCCCTCGACGAGAGCACGAGACAGACGAACTTAATTTGGTGTCGCGTTGCCCAGAAAGACCACGATCACAGCACAGTATCTGTAAGTTAGCATGACCAGCAAGCTTGAATCGAAGTTTGTAGAACTCTTTCAACACGGTTTCGCCGAAGTGTACTTACGCAGCAGTCGCCGCAAGGACTTCGTGACGCTTCGCTTTGGAGTAGAATGACATTGAGCAAGCGAAGATCATGGTGAAGAGAAAGAGGATCCCGATACACCCGAAGTACCCTTTGCTTCCTCCCACGTTGCTGACTAGTATGTAGCATATGAGGACTGGTAGGACTAGGAGGATAGCTGATAGGAAGGCGACGATGGCGGTGGCGAGGTTGGTGATTCTGCTTCCGCTTATATCTGTTGCAGGAGCGTTAGGCTCGAGCTTGGGGACTTCATCACACTGGTGCACTTCTTGTCCTACGAAGCTTGTCCAGGCCACATCCCTCTGGGCTAACATATGTGCGCGAGACTACAGCATCGTGGTGGTGATGTGATTTGAAGGATTTGGTGTTGAGGAGAGGCCACGGCATAGTGATAATACGAAATCGCAACAGTTTTCGAGAACGCAACGAATCCGCGGGGAACAGCTACGGGGGACTCACCAATAAGAGGAACGTATTCACCATATGCCTTCAGGCGATGTGCCTATTGCTCAAAAGTTAGTGGTCGGAAGAATGGGGGCGAATCGCGAATAGTATACCCGGGTCTCGAATAGTCTCTGGTATATGCTGTTAGAAAATCGGAAAATAGCTTAGATCCATGAATTTGCCATAAGCCATCTGCTCCGCGTATAGAATAAACATCTCTCAATCCAACCTTCCAGCCAATCAGGTTCTTTGGCTAGTCGAAGAGCGACAAGATCTTCGCGGTTTCGGATGGCATCAGTCTCCGAATCCAAAAGCGGCTTAGCGGTGTAGTGAAACCTTCTCAAGGCTTTGTAGTCTCGTTCCGTGGGACTTTCAAAGCATCGCAATTGCTGCACGGTCGTCATCAAGTCCGCTTCAATTTAATCAGCATGTGTCAAGATGCTGCTCATCATGAGTCGGACTACCCACCGTACTGTCGAAACTGAGTTTCAGCTGCTTCAAGAAACTCTCGTCGAATCTCCCATGCATCGGACAGCGGGTCTGCTCTGCGGAGCTGATTGGGATCATTGTCGTGATATTCCCAGTCCATCTCATCAAGATTGCGCTCTAGCTGTGCAAGTCGAGCTTCCTTCTCCAGCAGCAGTCGTGTCTGTAAGTATCCGAAGCGCCGGAATATCATGAAGCTATCATTCCCCTCCATGAACGTGGCAAGCCTGGGATACCCGTCTGGCATAAGATGCACTAGCCCAAGATTAGAGCACATCTCACAAATCGAGAATGGTAGAAAGTGTCCTGACATTGACGTGTTAATATTTCTGTCACCTCCGGAGGCTCGCGTCTGGCTTTTAGACGGTCTCTGAACCTAGACCACCGCCTGGCCCTTTGTCTCGTAGATTCATCAGCTGGTGGCTCACTTACGCTCGACATCGTGTCAGGGGAGCCTGGAATATCTACGATAGCATCCCCCATTTCACGTCCAAGCTGCTCCAACACATGTATCTCTAAAAGCTCGTCGACTTGTTGCAGCGGCCTGTGTACGTTGAGGATACGGGCAGGCAGTGCGGGCGTGGGTGCGGACGCTTCTTGTCTGTCCGGTGTGTTTTGCTCCGCATCTGAGGCTAGAGAGCCCATTCTCTCATGTATGGCATGATCAGCTGCTGTGTCGCGGATAACAGAATCGCCTGCAAGCGTAGTACCCTGGTCGGAGGAAGCTTTACGGACTGCTCCATTCCGAGGCTCTTACCACGCGCGTAGTGTCCTTACTTGAATTTATGTGAAAGAATT